ACCGATGAGCGTCTGTTAACACTAGTCAAGACAGTTCAGTTGCCTATGGGATCCGAATGATAGGGATAAAAAAGTCAGGATGCACTAAGGCACATCGCTAACGGAATGCAAATTGATGTCGAGGAAATAAAAAAAAAGAAAAAAGACAATATTTTTCAAACATACAGGAATTACAGGAGGAAGATGGCCTACAGTCAAAAGCCTGGCAGTGATGATACGTTTGTACCGCACTGGGCTCTCTCCCATCATTTTGACGCGTTTTGCATAATATCTACACCCCGAAGAAAAATATGGATGCGCTGCTTGGTGAAGTTTTCATGGTAAGTACTTAATTTTTCTAATTTGATAAATATATCTTTCATCCAGTGAAGCTATTTTAATCTATAATTTTAGTGTCACTTTCTTAGCGGCACAAAATAAGAAGTGCCATTACACTACGCTTTAAATCAGTATTTTGTGTCATCTTAGGACGAGTTACAAAACGCTGAAGAATAAATACATACAACAGTTACCGACTTCAGAACTGATGGTTCTGAGATATTATATTTTAATATGAAAGATGTGAATGACTTGCGGAAGTTCTTGATTACTTTTTTCAGCATAATTCTTATACTCGCATTTTATCCGAAGACACAAACCAATGCATACAATATCTGTAATCACGAAAAAATATCTTTCTGTTTTTCAATTGCCTGACCGGATTTTTACTCGTTCAGAATTTATTCTTCCCACGTCACGAAAAATTTCTAAAATGAGATATTTTATATTTTGGATGTTACATCACGAAAAACCATGGCACTCATTTCCTGTCAGTCGGTCTATCTGTCTGTCCGCTAATCGTTGGCCCGTATATAACTTGGAAAGAACCGCACGGATTTTAATCAAATTTTCACACAAGGCTGATACTACGCCAAGAACGAAAAATCATTGTGTTTCTTGAAAATCCATCCAGTGGCGATGGAGTTAGGGTTCAAAAAGGTTTCACAATGAATTGAAACCAAAATTTGAGGCACTGTCAACAAAATGGGAGTTTATTTATCATTTCTGTTCAGCTTTCAATTATTGTAATTTTTGTACTTTTTAGCTGGAAATACTTTATCATCTCAACCGATATTGAAGCGTAAGCGAACTGATAGGGTCCAGGGTCAAACAGAAGAGGCATATCAAGATCTCCTTATAACTCTGAAGGAACAAATATCAAGAAGGCAAGATATGGCACGAGATATATGCGGAGTATATGGAGAATTGCGTTCTTTGAAGCTACGAAAGCTAGATGAAAGGACACAGCGGTGCACAAAGTTGATGGGATTATGTTCGATTTTTTATATAATCAAGCGCCTCAATCTCCAAACTCACAAGCTCAATAAGCTAGGAATTAATAATAAATAACGTAAATAAACATTTTATGTTGTAATTTATTTTGTACAATGATTTCACAAAAAATGAAATAGGCAGACAGATCTTACATCCAAATGTTCTGAAAGTGAGCATTGGACCTCAGATACTACCTACACTATCAGTCCCTCCTTTGAACGGCACGGGTATTACGTATCTTGAAAAGTGACATTATTATGTCGAGTGTTTGACATTATATTGCTTTTTTCTGACAGTATGTAGATTTTTCTACAAGATGTTAACTTAGCACTAGTTGATGAACACGTTGAAGTTGTACGTGTTGCCTAACGTCATGAGGCTTCAGTTATCAAAGTTTGGCTCTGATGTAATAATATGTGTTGATGATAATTCTATTGGATTCTGGTCTCAAATACACTAACTTGAGATTAGTTCCACATTTTCTTATCCATTCTGGAAATTACATATGCAAATTTGCTGAATTTAAAAAATGAGAGAGATCAGAAATAATTATATTCACTGTACACTGTCCAATTAAAAGCCATATACATGCTAACAGTACTTACACACAACGCGGGCCCGGTGATGATTTCCCGATAGTTCTCCTCAAAGTTTCTCGTTATTTATAACTTTGAACATAACCTGTCTTCAGAAAGGACAACATATAAATAACCCGTCGGGCACAGCTAATGGATATACTTCATTGGCGGCATATTCAGTAATGATTTTCTCACACAGCAAATATCACTGATTTTATACACATGCAGACCAATGCACAATCATCCATATGGGGTCTTGGTATTCAACCAACTTTCTTCTCAGAGATGAAAACTATAGACTTACACGGCTTCACAAAACATATGCAACCAACTATGCGTGTAGTTGAGCTATTCCTCCATAGATGCACGCCCACAAGGATCCTAGTGGGCAAACATGGAATGACTGCACCCTAAAAACTACCTAGTCTGCAAGATGACATTTTATAGGTGTTTTCGACGTTGTATAGGTTTTTTACATAATACCCGTGCGGGACAAGCTTGCGAGCTGGAATTGGGCGTGATTTGACCCACGAATATATAGTATAACGTATTTAACCCTTAACAGGAAACGTGAATTTATAGTACACACGAGAGAGAGAGCCCTCTCTCAGACTGCGATCTGCAAGAAGTTCAAAATATTAGAGTAAGAGGAAAGGCAGCGAATAACTTTGCTGACACTGACATCAGATGTTCATATTATATGTTTAATACGTAAAATGCTCATTTCAATACAGCACATTATCAGTTGTCTAAGCTACGTGGAGTTCAGTACATGTGCCTTTGAGCGTGTTCACGATTTATTAGGATTTTTACAATGGATGTGAATGAACAACAACGCGTTTGCATTAAATTTTGTGTTAATAACAATATTGAAGGATGATAAATTTATCCTCTATCTAGGGTATTGATAAGAAGCTTCAAAGCGGCCTATTACTTTTTACAAAATGTTTTAATTTTTAGTAGCTAATTTGTCCAAGAAAAGTTGGGGCCTTTGTCTATTCATCTGTATATGTTTATTTCCTGGTATAATGCCTCTGTTTATTAGGGATTATTCTTCTGGTTATTAATCATTTGCAGATTTCTGCAAAAAATACGACGCTTAACTTTCTTAGATACCTACAAAATTTGGAGTCAAACACAATTTCCTGAGCTAGAGAGATATCCTGAACGCTATTTAAACCAGTTTTGTCATTCGCACTCTAACTTTATCTGCTATTGTTCACAAAAACGAAACGTTGATTTAGCTATTTAGTAATGGAAGTCCGAATTAAGCGCTATAGATAATGTAGGGTTCTATAAAAGGTCAGCGTTTTCTACCCCAGAATCAGACTGAGGTGAAACGACACACCTATCGTCGAAATGACGCCAGGTCAGCGCTGCTATTTTACACGAACTAGACAGTTAGTAATCGTTCTTTTGTTGCTTAATTTTCTTTTTGGAGAAAGTAGGATAAAATTGTGACATTTGATAGGCTTTTATGAAGCCTCTTGGCAACATGGAAAAGGTTTTTAAAATCAGAATATGTACGGAGATGGCAAATTGAAAGTGCGCGAGATAGCTGTTGCGACATTACTCCATCGAGATAGTATCTAGAAAGCCGCTATCGCTATTACAATCTCTTGGCTAAACAAAATGGCGTCAGTCGTCAGTCAGTGGGCTGAGTAAAGGGTGACATATTGACTCTGTTACCGAAGACGCAATGCCATATCTCCTAGAGATTTATATCATTTCACTGCTCGCTGAAAGTCGCACTACTTCACATGCAATTGTTTTAAAAATTATTGTTGAAGGTAAAAATTGCGATCTTTCTGTCATCTTCTTTCTCTGTTCTGTACATTATATTGTCCCTTCATGATACAATGGTCGAATAACCTTGAATTCCACTAGAAGGTTAATTCTTGAAATGAGGGATTAGACTGAAGGCCGTCTGTCATGATACAAAATTTTGTGAGAAAATGTGTTACAGAACGGATGTGTCATTTGCCATTTAGTTGAATTAAACTTACGTTTCATCTTATGATCCTCTTTGAGATAATTTATTACTATATGCTTACATTATCATAGTTGTAGAGTCATGAAAAAGAGAGTAAGCATATCCTAAAGCTTGAAAAGTGAATTTACTTTGACAAAAAGCTAAAATGTAATCTGCTAACATTACCCGTCGTAACATTTTTTTATATGTACTCGTATGTGACATTAGCTACTAATAGGGGAATTTTCTTAGAATATTGTTTTTTATCAAGGATTTACTTTTCTCTATTACTTTCAACTATTTTTTGCAGTTGCTTCATTGTTCGAATCGAGTATACTGACTGTACTAGTAATTTTTTTTTGATGGTGTCTTATCTTCACCAAACGCTGTATCATGACTCTACCTCTAACAATAACGACCGGTCCAATTTACCTAACGGTCACATTAAATATTTTATGGTTTGAAAGAGTTGTGTCATTCAGAGGGCAAATGTCCTGACATTAGGCAGAAATAGGTACATTGGCATGGCAGGGAGGCCTAAAGACGTCTTCTCATTCTTCCATTCAACGCCGGGGTACGAAAAACGATGCGGATTCGGAAAGGATTCAATTGGGGTCGTTTCGCCTTTATTGAACTATTATACACAGTATTATTCTCCTAACAATGTTTCTGTGGAGATCTTTAGATTTCGCCGGCGTTGTTGTTAAGTGGCGTTTTAGATAAAACATCTACCATTTAACAGATCATTTTGTGAAAAGTAAACGCCTCGGATGATTTTGTCGTTGTTTTGGTTATATTCAACGGATTCGAATAGATTAGGAGGAGCTAAGTCTATATGTATGTTTACAGTTCACTGTTTGTCACCAATATATTGTTATATACTAGACTACTAGCTATCTACCTTTAACTAGCTCTAGAACTTTTCGTCAATTTCATTAGTTTCCCAGTCGAGAAAAATTGCTGCTGTGTAATCTAATATTTCCTGAGGTCGGCCAGATTTGTGGAGCTAATTGGTGAGATCCTTCCATCATCTAACACTATTTTGCGGCCGTAATACCAAATTGACAATTGTTGACAAATTCATTCTGCAAAGTGAACTTTATGAGAAATTGATATAAGGAGTGTTCATATGCAATATGACCAAAAAGAAGAAAAATGAATGCGAAAACGAAACCCTAGAACCAAATATTCAAATTAGCGTAAGTGAAAAGAGTACCAAAGAAACTATTGTCAAAGAGAATTATTATCTTAAACAGCTTTTGGAAGAAAAAGAAAGATTTATATATCAGTTGGTAAATGAAAACCGTAGACTACAGGAAGCATATGACTTGATTTCTGCCAACATAGTAGAGAAGGAATCCGTTGTATCTACTTTGGCTATTGTAACTGATCAACTAGAACAACTTGAGAAAAGAAAGTCAGAGAATACATCATACTCACAAATTTTAAAGCAAAATACTCCTAAAATCAATAGCAACAACAAGAACAACAATGACATGAAATCCATATTAGTTACTCCCGAAAGGACCCAACATTATAATGACACCAGAAAAGACCTAACTAATAACATTAATCTAGCAAGTATTGAAGTTAAGATAGAGAAAGTAAATAATTATAAAAACGGCGGCGTCGAAATTCATGTTGAGCAATGTTATTACCAGAAACTCAAAAATGAACTAGAAACTAAGTTGAAGGGAAAATACAATATATCAGGAGCAAGAGAAATGAGACCGAAAATTAAGATCATAGGCTACAAAACTGAAAAAAAACCTTCAGAAGCAGAAATTAAAGAAGAAATCATATCCCAAAATACATTCATTAATGAAAACGAAATCGAAATCACTTTTGTACGACACATACCATTCCGAAATTCTTATACTATATTCGCTGAAGTTTCTGGAGAGCTTTAGTTCTTTTTACGTTTTTCGAGCTACATATCATTTGCAAAATTTTACATGGATAGTTACGTAAATAATTTTCAGGTTAATGATATCAATACAAATATTGCTCAAGACGCAAATGCTCTTAATAAATGGTTAGAATATTCTAATTTCAATGTTAGCTTATATCACATGAATATACGAAGCCTAAACCAAAATTTTGACTGTTTTAATATCTTCCTAACTACAATTAAACACAAATTTGATATAATAATATTCACAGAAACTTGGAAAATTGATGATGTATCTTTGTTCTGTTTGGAAGGTTATGATACGCTTTACAATAATGGTACGTACAACCAGAATGATGGGGTGGTAGTATATGTAAGAAATGATATCAACTACAGATGTGATTTTGTTAAATTTGATGACGGTATCACAGTGTTGGATTTGATATTGAGAATTAATAACAAAAGTGTAAAAGTCACATCTGTCTATCGACCACCATCATCAAACCCTTATACATTTGTAGAAAATCTTGAAAAATTTTTGTTAGATAACAAAAATACCATACAGTCACACCACATCATAATAGGAGATATGAATATTAATATACTCCAACATACCAAATTAGTAAACAAATACCTCACTGTAATGCAGAGCAATGGGTTCATATCAAATATAAATTTACCAACAAGAGTAGTCAATAATAGTTCCAGTTCTTGCATTGATCATTGTTTCATCAAAAATTTTTCAAATTTCTTTCGGTACATACCGTTAATTGTTGAAAACCATATTACCGATCATTTACCCACTGTAATACTTATATCATCACCAGAAAAAAATAAAAGTAGATCCATCTCCAGTAATGAAACAGTGAAGTTTAGGTGTTTTGTCGATAATAAAAAATTACTTGCAAATATCAAATTAGAATCGTGGACAGCAGTGTACTGCGCAACGAATGTTAATGATGCTGCAAACACACTCATTGAACGGATAAAATATTTAATTGAATGTAGTACAAACAGAGTTAAAATTAAACATTTTGACAGAAGCAGGAATCCCTGGATAACTAAAGGTTTGATACAAGTCTGCCAACAAAAAAGAGGAACTATACAAAATAATGAAAGCATCACCATGTGCAGATACCTCCCATAAATATAAAGAATATAAAAATATTTTTATCAATCTAGTTAGAGAAGCAAGACGCCAATTCTATCTAAAAAAATTACAAGATGCCAAATCTGATCCAAGAAAACTGTGGTCAGTTGTCGATCACTTAACTAACAAAGACGTTCAAGAAAAGCCAAATATTGATGAAATTAAGAATCGTGATGGAACAATATTAACAGATAAACGACAAATACCCGATGCATTCTTAAATTTTTTCACTAATGTTGGAGAAAATTTAGAATCCAGTATTAAAAAAATGGTTTCGAACGAAAAGTTCACAAAAACCCAACTTCCCAATTCATTCTTTTTAGAAAGCGTTAGTCCGATTGAAGTACAAGAAGCTGTCCTATCACTTAAAACCAAAAAAAGTCCTGGTGTGGATGGTATCAAAGCTGAGCATTTAAAAATAATAGCCTACGACTTAGCCGAACCACTTTCTTACGTCATTAATTGGTGTTTCCAATCTGGAATTTGTCCTGATGCATTTAAAACAACTGTTATTACTCCTGTTTATAAAAGCGGTGACAGAAACATCAAATTATAGACCCATATCAGTACTATCGAATGTAGCCAAAATTTTCGAAAAATTACTGCCAAAAAGGATATTGCAATTTTTGGACAAAAACAAAATTATATATTCTGACCAATATGGATTTAGAAAAGGAAAATCTACTACAGATGCAATTTTGGCTACAATGGATGAAATTAACTCTAATGTCAACAAAAAGATACCTACTATTGGTATCTTTGTTGATCTAAAAAATGCCTTTGATACGGTTAACCATGTCGAGCTTCTGAAAGTTATGGAAAGATTGGGATTTAGGGGAGCGTCACAAATCCTTTTAAAAAATTACCTTTCAAGTCGGGCACAGACTGTCAAAATCACTAACACTTACAATAAAAAAATGTACATCAAGTGTGGTGTGCCTCAAGGAACAGTACTAGGCCCACTATTATTTAGTCTCTACTTAAATGACTTATTCAAAATTAACAGTTCTGGAAAGATTATATGTTTTGCAGATGACACCCTCGTATTATATAAAGCTGATGACTGGAGCACACTGAAGCAAATAGCTGAAAAGGATTTTATAAGGATCATTGACTGGTTTGATACTAAAATTTTAACAGTTAACTTCAAAAAAACAAAATTTATTGCATTTACATCCTATTCAAAATTTTTACCTACCTTCGAACAAATTTCCGTTAATTATCATGGCCAAAAGACCAAAATCGATAGAGTTAACACTTTGAAATATCTTGGAATATTTATAGACTCACATCTAAGGTGGAATAACCATATTAAATATGTTATCAAAAAAATTAGAAATGTTGCCTATAAACTCAAAATGCTTGCTAACATTCTTACAGAAAGTTATCTGCGAATCCTATACCATGCCTTAGTTGAAACCCATATAATATACGGCATCACAGCCTGGGGTGCCGCCTGCAAGACATATATTTCTGACCTGAATATAGCACAAAAAACTGTTTTGAAAGCCATTTTCCTTAAGCCAAGATTATATCCAACGAACAACTTATATCAGGAAACAGGGATACTTGATACAAGACAACTTTATTTCTTACATGCCACCACCTTATACCATAAGTATTGTAAGAAAAAGAAAAAATCCTATAAACACGAGCATAACACACGATTTCGAATAGGCTCATCTAATATCCAAAGACCACACAAAACATTATTCAAAAAATCATTTAAATTCTTAGCGGCTAAATTATATAATGTAGTACCAAACGAAATAAAGATACTTAATTTTGGAAAAAAATTTAGAAGAAAATTGAAAGACTGACTTATGGCAAGTGCACTTAGGCAGCAGCGGTGGCCGCAGTAGTAGACTCTTCGGTCTCCTGATCAGTCGCCGTGCGATGTGCGGGTTCGAATCCCGTCCCAAGAGAAATTTTTCTCTTGGCTATGGATGTTGTGATTGTCCGTGGGTGGTAGACGGTCTCTGACTGTCGAACGCAGAGGTACCACCAGGCGGATCTCGTAGGCGAGACCAGAATGTGTGCATGTTGCATGCCCACGTGTTCCCTCGCCAGCCCGTGTGGCGTTCCCCCTTTCCCCTGTATCCCCCTATAACCCCACGGTACCCCATGGGTGTTTAGGCTTTAGGCCTTCGTAGTAGTCGGAATATAAAAAACTCAGATCCTCACTACAGATTATGAGAATTAAGAGACAAACAAATCCTTGACTGGCTCCTTCTAACTAGTTTGAATCCGTTGGGTATATTACGGGAGATATTAAAACATTTACTTAGACATATTATATGTACTATCATTTTTCTTTTTTTTTTAAGTATGTAAGGTTGAAGAAAATTTCAAACAAGTTGTATTTTTGGTAAGTTTCATTTACGGTGTGGTTTACAAAAGTTGGGTCGGTCGAGTACGAAATTAACCTCCTCAAAAATATTTCGACGTTAATTTTATTGTGAGAATAATATTCGGATAATCTACCTAGGATTTTCGTTAAATCGCATCTTGAGATGGTGAGAATTCAAATTGAAGTTGCTGAGCGGAATACTTCCGAAACTACCAATTTGCCGCTAGGAAACAGGTATCCATAGGCAAAGATCGTTTTTTGGGAATAACTTGAAAAAATTTGTCTTGGTTATAGTTAGTTGATAGCACCAAAATATTGCATCAGTATAAAATTGTCAATTAATTTAAAATTGGGGTGAAGTAAATTAATCTAGTACCTTCCAGACATTTATATAAATCTATTTAAAATTTTAGGCAAGTTATTATCTTAGTGATACGTGAATTGAGATTTCTAAATCTCCTATATTTTTTTGATTGTGTTCTTGAGTAATCAGTTTTTTTTTCAATTTGAAACCCTTCTAATTTTCTTTACTAGCCCATAGATCGGGAATTTTAAATACGTCGAGAAATAAAAGAGGACGTTCTGAAATATTTTGCTTTACCCTCGTAACTCGTGGCAGGTAATCAATGACTGTATTTTCGTGATATACATGTCATTCAAAAAGCATATCTCTATATCGAATTTTTTTAATAACATCGTTTGCTTCTTTCCAATTCACATGGGAAGCAAAATAACTGGATAATGCAATTTTTTAATTGTTGATTTCGGTACCACCTTCACGCTTCAAACAACAATGTCACCATATTGTTGTTGTAGGCACGGTACCGTTATTCTTAGCTTTTTCCGTTAAACAATCTACTACACACTACACCTACGATAAACCGTGTTTGTGTCGCATACCGGAAGACACTCATTGATAACTCGCACACTTATTTTTCTTGTCATTGTATGTACGACGGATTATTCTCGCATGCAGAGATTGCAGCAGTTTAGCAGCCTCTTTAACTATCAATAGTAGGGAAATTAATCAAATGAGGATAACTGAAAAAATCATTCTCTAAGAAATCATTTGAATTTTACCAAACCACAAAAATATGTTATTATAGGGTAGTCTATAAAATCTCACAGCTTTGACAACCTTTTATTCTGTCAGTCTGAAAAATAGTGAAATTCAGAGTAAAAATGGTAATAAACGCGTTACGAGCTTCAAAAT